TGCTTTTTTTAGACAAGGCTCTTTGCAGCCCCACAGCATTTAGAACTGAGCGCTAGAAGAGAAAAAAAAAATGTTATTTATGATTTTGCGACAAATTATAGTTAGAAAGTCCTGTGTTTGAGTCTTTTTGTGTGTGTGTGTGTGTGTGTGCTGCAGCAGACCACGTCCCGCCGGGCCGGCCTGTGTTGCACCAACTGCCACACCAGCACCACCACGTTATGGAGACGCAACGCTGAAGGAGAGCCCGTCTGTAACGCCTGCGGCCTCTACATGAAGCTGCACGGGGTAGGTCGCACCAACACCAACACTCCTTTAATCAACTCGCTGCGTCGGGGAAGACAAAGCCTCACAGAGGTCATGGAGGTCGCTGTGATGTGTGGGAGAAGGGCTTGTGTGAGATGACATAACACACTCTGTGGCTCCTGTTGTGTTGGGGTTTGGGAGGGAAGCCCAGCTCATGTGTTGCTGTACTCCCTCCAGGTGCCCAGACCGCTGGCCATGAAGAAAGAAAGCATTCAGACAAGGAAGCGTAAACCCAAGATAGCGAAGACTAAAGCGTCCACAGGTTGGGTCCCACGCACAGGAATCGCATTGGTCAAATCATATCAGCCTTGAGGACAGAAAGTAAAAAGAGCCTTAAAAAATGGACACAACATACTGAGAGTGAATGATTTTCCTGTTGTGTTTTTAGGCTCCATCACCTCTGACACTAGCTCCCCGTCCTCCCTGTCAGTCTCCGAACACGCCTCCACTATTAAAAGTGAACCCAGCATGGCCCCGTCGCCCTACACAGGGCAGACCATCACATCTGGCTCTCAGGTAACCCTTCCTCCCATCACATTCTTCTGACACTCCATACAGAATGGAGAAAACAAGCGACACTAAATCATTGACTTAGAGAATTGGTATGATGGAGAAAAATAAAACTGATAACTTTAAACAACAAGACGGCTATCACTCCTTACAGAATGTGGCTGAGGAATATTTACTGAGCTCCCCGGCATTTGTCAGGGTTAGGACCATAGCTAAAATTCACAGCTGCTTTTACCCCTTTTAAAAATGCTTATAACTGCAACTCTTAATCGTTTACACACCAAATATACACAGTGGAAACCTCTACAGCAGAAGCTAACGTCTACGGTTTTTGTTATCTACGCTCCTGAGGTTTCAGCAAATCAGCAGCAATAAAAATGAACAGCGCTCTGAGACTGGCTGCTTTGAAATCGCCGGCTAATGTTGGCATGTAAGCTAGCATTGCACCTGGGCATCACATCTTCCAAGGATGCATTTTCTTTTAAATATGTCAGATATGCGCTGACAAAAAAATAAAGCTGCGAAAAGATTCATTTAACAATTTGATCCATTCCAAAATGAATATTCTTTAATACTAAACCCTAAAGAGGTGGTGGTCCTCTATTTTAATAATAAAAAAGAAAAACAAAACAAAACAAATATAGTGGAGTATCTATCGGTGTTATGAATATGGATCGATTTGTGGAGAGGATGGATGCAGTTGAGTTTAAATACACACACAGGGACTGATCAGGCAACACAAGGGACAACTGGGGACAATCATTTTTCAATTCAAATAAGAAAATTACATTAATAGGATATTTTAGCTGAGTGCAAGCCATAGTGTAATGTCTCGTTTTTTGTTATATCTAGAAAGAGTTGCTTTTTTAGTTAATGAAGCTTTTGTCTCCTTCCTTTCTGCAGACCGCCTCTCAGCTAGACAGTACGGCATCCGGACACGTGGACGTTAAATACGAGGATTATCCTTTCACTCAGACATCGATGGCGCCACAGAATTCCTGGTGTGCTCTGTCTCAAGCGTGAGCATCGGCAGACAACAGAACTAGCTTTCCGGCTAACTCTAAAGTCACAGAACGGACAATCATCCTCATCCTGAAGTAACTTCCCCCGATTCTGAAGCTGTGGGAAAACTGTTCTAATATGGACCAAAACGGGCAGAAGGCAAAGAAGGCAAAAAGAAAAAGAAAAAAAGAAAATAATAAAAAACAAAAAAAACTACCGACGACCACGTAATCTTGGATTTTTATTGGAAACACTGGCTGTGAATGACGAACCAGGAGCGGATTGTAGTAGGACTTTCAAAATGCAATCTGCAGCTTATAAACAACTTAAGAAGAGCTAAGAACTAGGACTGATGTCCGTCCAGCAAGCTATATCTCCTCAATACATCCAACATCAACTACCTATTTCCTGAAAAAAAAAAGAAATGTTTTTGGAGAAACATTACACTAAACAGAGGACATCAATGCAAACACGTTCAAGTGGAATGCTAAAAGATAAGGACACAATAACCTAACTTTAGAGCTATTAAATAATTTTATTGTAATGATTTTTTTTCTCTTATTGTTGCTTTGTGTCCATCCTCTCTGCTTTTAAAAACAATTCCAGTGGGTTCAGGACTCTTGAAAAAAAAAAAAAAGACTGAAAATAACTCTTTATGGCTGTTGAACATGTCTCATTACCAGCGTGTAGATGATTAACGTTTACAGGCACATTATTTATGTTGAGATAAGGACAGTTAAAAGTCATTGTGGACACTAAAACCGGCCGGTCGTAAAGCGCCGCTCACCGTTCGGCTCACAGAACGGCTGTTCGCGCCTGAGCTACAAGGCTGGTATTGTCTTAGGCTTGCTTTAGCAGAACAGCGGGAAAAAAAAAGGTCTTGTAAATGTCAAGTGAAAATGTCCAACATCCAAATGTTTTCCATTTTGCTGATTCAACAGTGGTGAAAGTGCAATGAATCGATTTTTCTTTAAAAAATTTTTTAAGGCAAATAAAAAAAATTAAAAAAAACAGTGTGAAATGATTGTAATCATAATGTCATTATCTGTGTTTGGTTGATAAGAGGATGTGTGTGGATTTTCTGAAGAGCTTTCTGTTGCTGTTTTATTTTTTGATGACATTTGAAATCTGTGCAGGTTAATAAACATATGATATAATTTTTATATAATTAATGTACTGATCACAGTTTTTTTCAATCCACACATACGCAAGTTTAAATAAGTTAACCTTTACTTTTATGGCACCTTCAAGTTGCAAACATCACAGCAATTCACAATAAAATAATATGAGAACCAAACAGCAAATAATACATAAAAATCTGAGAAAATCATTTTTTTTTTTGGTCAAAAGATCATTTTAATGGCATCAGCGTTCTGCTGCATAACTAACCCTTTTAAAGATTCCTCTCATGCAAACAATTGTCTGTTATCTTGATTTTAGAATGGGAATTTTTGTATGTATATGCAGCCTAGAATATATAATAAACTAATAAATTCTAGACAAATTTAGCCTGAACCTAGACAATGAAAGGTAAGTGTATTTGATCAATCCCAGCAACCTTTCAGTTATATTTAGACATCAACTGGTGTCAATATGTCAGCGTTGTTTCACTTTTCAATGAAGGCCTCTGAGCTCATCATCTGGGCCTTTTTATTTTACCCTATTTTTATTTTAAAAAAATAAATAAAATAAAACATTATCTTTGTTTTCTCAGCTGAAAATGTAAAGGCACATTCTACCCCCCAATTTTTCACGTTATAATTCTTCACTTGAAGCTACTTAAAGTATTTTGAAAAATGTACTTTTTTAAAAGATTTATGCCATGTTACTATATTATTCCCCTAACAAAAACATGCCTGGAGTGTTGCCCTCATTCATTCATGCATGTTTGGCTGCTGCCACTGGAGATGAAAAGATTTCTCATTCTGCTGTGAAAAACAGCTGAAGGGACCAAAAGCGCATCTCCTCCTCTTTCCCATTTGCAGCTCCACCTCAGCACTGGAGTTTCCAAGCGACCTTGCTTTCACCTCACAGGGCATCTCTCCCTTTTTACTCCCCCACCCAGCTCCTTCAGACTAGCAAGCAGCAATTAGCAAACACCTGATGCATCTGCATATCTGCTGAGCTAATTATATGAGCTACTTTTCAGTGCAACTCAGGCAAAAAAAAAAAAATGCTGTTAACAGGTTGGTAAAGGACAGATGTTGTGATGCCTTCCTGATGGTGGAGTTTCAACGAAGGGGCATCAATTTTTAAAGAGACAGAGGCCCAATTTCAAGCTGATAAATTAGGCAGTAAAATTACTTGTATGTCATATTTGACATATGCAATATTTTTAAAACAATTGAAGTTAACAATGTTACATGATTGTGTTTTAAATTGACACTGAATGCATGTTACAGTCCCTTTCATGTTGCCATCAGTATTTCAACCTCTTAGCCATAATGTCCCATTATCAGCAAAATATGGTTTCCCAAAACATCTTCTAAACAAAACATCAGATCCATCACCACTCTTTCTCTACAAAAACCGCTTTTATATGATTCCATTATATTTCTTGCCCAAAAATATATTACCCTTGTTTTTTGTTTTTTTTTACCACCCTGCTACTGAATGTAACATAGATAGTTGACTGTGCTATAAAATGATACTATATGGTACAGGAAAATTCATATTGCCCCTGTAAGAACCTGTGTGACAACATAAAACAAACAGAAGAAAATCTCAAAAAGCAAATCATCGTGCCCTCCTGTACAGAAATTTAAGAACTGATGAGAAACAAAGTCTGAGGCTTAGAGACTTCATTGGATCAACGTGCCACATTATCTACTGTTGGACAAAAGATGAAATATGTGTGAATATCTTGTGGAGCCGCCGGCCCATCAGAGTTACTGGATGTCACCAAACAATGGAGGACGCATGAGGTGCTGCAGGTCTCACCTTCCTCCGTTGAGGTCAGAGTTCATAGTTCAACAGTAAATAAGAGATTGGCATCCAATAAAGCGTTTCAAGCTGAGAAATCACTGCTGACTGCATTCTTTACTTTTATTCTGACATATTTTTGTCTGATGTCATCATTGGATGATCTGAAACATTTGATTGTGACATGACATCAAAAAATGGAGAAAATCTTTAAGATGGAAAACACTTCTGTTTATTTAGTTTAGTTTTTGTTGTTTGTTGTATCTAACATAAAATTCATGCATTGCACCACCAATGCTACAGAGGAGGTTTTGCATCTCTAATTATCATTGATGTACACACACACACCCACACACACACACCCCACACACACACACACACACACACACACACTGGCCTGTATTGATTTAAGCTGTGGCGTTCACTGTCATACTTCCAGATTTGTAAACTCTCATGTGTTTGTGTGTGCAGGCAGGGCGTGTTCTCCAGCAGTGCTGACCAAAGGTTGACTTCCAACTCCCCTTTATGGCGGCCGGGTCCAAACCGGCCACACAACTGAGGGAAATACGGGCCTGTCAGCAACACGGCCGCCACTTTACTGCCACCATGGCGACATCGAGGCACCAATGCACCAACAGCACTGCCCAGGTTTATGACTGTTGGGAAAGATGTTGTAGTCTTATCTGTTGCCAGCTAAGGCCCGCCGTGCTGTGATGTGAACACCCTGGAGGTACACATTTAGAGGACGAGGAATGAGAGACCAGTTATGATTTTACAAAAACTTTTTGTAAAACTTTTTTACACAAACTGTCAGCATTGGAAACATTTGTTTAAAAACAACGGCGATATCATCTGTTTAACCAGAATTAAGAACACATCATCATCGCGCCCTTGCGAGATCAAGCATGTGAGACAATGGATGGTTGGATTGAATTCACATTTATTTATTAAAAGCAGAAGTAATAAACAAAACTGAAACAAATAGAGGAACAAACAACGAAATCCACAAAAACAGGAGTCAGCTCCCCCACAAGGATAAGTGGGTACAGATGATGGATGGATGTTCATAAAGCATCAGCTCTGACCTCACAGGTCTGAGGTCCATAGCCTGCAGGCATGTTGACAGCCCAACACTGTTTTCCTTTCAGTCAAAGAAGTCTTGACCCTTAGACTGGTTGTTCTGACAAATGAGGAAATCTCTCCTCCGAAAGGCTTGTTGGATAAAACAAAAAATGTTTCTCCAAAGTGTACAAGGGAACACGTCACAGGAAAGATAAATGGACAGTTGAGTTGTGCTGCCAAAAACCCAACAGGTAGCTTGAACTATAAGGTCAGACTGCCAAACTGGACGACATCTTGAAGCTTACATGTCTCTCATCTATATGTTACGTCAGAGCTTCTCACTTAGCTATAATACAGCAGGAGATATCTTGAATGATGCTTTGACATAAATAGTGAACCCTTTCATTAAAACCTCTTTATCCACTTTATGAAGCACATCGCTGCTAAGACTGTCAAATGGCTAAAAACTCCTGGATGAAAATCTGAAAATCAGTCTTTCTATACAGGAAGGCGATCTGCAGAAAGTTGTGGCGCTCTCTAAATGACAGGAGTAAATAATTATTTTAAAATCCTGTGTCGTCGTACTGATTCTTTTTCTACAAGACAAATAAAACCAATCACAGTTTAAACTAGTCATGAAATGTCAGTTTAAGACTAAATGAAGGAAGCAGGGATGCAGGGAGAATCCCAACGATGGGGTCGAGACGTACTCTGGTCAGGACAGGTGGTCTGCAACGTGTATGAAATCTGTGTGCACATGCAAGCATCCTATTACCACATCGTTGTGCGTCAACTCTTCAGACGAAGTCTGGGAGAGGTGCTGAATAATAATAATAACACTGATGATGAGAAATTTTCTTGCTCTCTCCTTATTAAACTGGTTATGACAACTTTTATATGGAGAAACCAAGAAAATTGTTACAACCACATACTCCTTCTGTATTTACTTCCTATCTATACAATTCACTCCATGGAGTTGGAAGTGACAGTCTAATTAGACCTGAGAGAAAAAGGCATGACGAAGGCGTTACGTTTTCATGGAGCTACAAACTCCTTTGTGTTTATCACATACAAACCCAAAGGCATACCTTTCCATTTGTGACTATGTTAATGAGGAAAGTTTGTTTTTGCAATGTGTTAAAACAAAGATTAATTGAACTTTTCCTTCCATTCAAATATTTCTTTCAGTCACACATAATGCAGCCATACATTTGTCACCTCTGAAGGGGGTTTTCCTGCAGCACACATGAACTTTAATTTACTATTGTTGGGTTAAGTAAGCTAATATGTTCATTGGAAGTGACAGTCAGTGCTGACAGTGAAGCCTTGGATTTGATTTAGACCTGTGGCATCAAGGCTGAGGTCAGACCAATGTCAAGGCTGTGATGGCTTCATCTCTGTAGTGATTTTTAAAGTTGCTGTGTCAACACCCTCGTCCCCCCCATAGCTTGACTCATCTGTCAATTGCCAGGTTTCCCTTTCACTCTTCTCTATGTTTCTGAGAACTCTATGTTCCCCCTTTTCTTCCTGCTTTCGACTGTGTGAACGATATTGAAATGTTAGCTTGCACAGCATTGCGAGTCAGTTCCTGGACAGACGTGGGGCTACAGGCCACATCAGTCCAGCGATATTATCAGCCAGCCATATTGAGAAATGGGCTTTTTATTCTTTGTTTGCTGCTGCAGCAGGTTTTTTCCTTTCAATTACAGGCTCTACCAAAAACAGGGCATTTCCTTATAGGCTGTGGTTATTTAAAGTCACTGTGTGTATGGTCTCACACACACATATTATTCCACAAAATTTCAGCCTTTAAATCAGAACTTCCTCCTGCTGTCTTCTCTGTGATTGGCCCAGAGGTTCTGTTTTCCCCTTAGTGTGACAGGAACAAAACTGGACTCTTGTATCCTGTATCTTTCAAAAAGAAAGACTGATGCCTCCCTTGGGTGGCATGGTGTTGTAAATAACAAGAGGAAAATAATCGTCTGAGCTTCTGTTGATTTTGTAACAAAGAAATGAACAGTATGTCATTTTTATGGTTGCTTCGACGTAAAGGACAAGGAGAAAGCAACTACTTCAACCAACTGTAACTGAGTGAAATAAGTAATTTATAAACTGTTTCTGAACCTGGATTTTAGACAGATTACAATCTGTCAGCCAATAACAACTCAACTCATTATGTGAAGCTCCAATGTCTACCATGTCACCTTCTCCATCATCATACATGAGACCAAACGTCTGACAAAGAATGTTTGGTCGGATTGAGCTACAAGATCATGAGAACTTGGATTAAATGAGGCGTCTTTTGTGTGTGTGTATGTGCATGTGTGTATAGTTTTGTGCCGTGGTCCACCTGAGTGACCAGACTGTGGGAGGGTCAAAACATCCATTGTTACCACTAACTTTTTGGCAGCTGGATCATAAAAGGAACTAAGCAGTGAAGTTTACTGGAAATTGCAGTAAAATCTTTGCCAACAGTAAAATGTCTGAAACGTTCCTTTTTTTCCTGACTTTAATTGCTCAATATTTGCCAGCGTGACCAACACAGATTGAATGGCTTTGTTCACTTCCTCTGCTGTCGTTGCTAAAACTACAACCATAGGAAGACAGGAATTATAAAATAGCAGAGAAATCTGATGTCATTGTTTGCAATTCCTCCTTCTGTCTGCTGATTGGACAGGATCAGATGCATCCTTAGATATCCAGCTCAATGGGAGGAATCACAGTCAGAACTCTAGTCATGAGTGTACAGTGTCACTGAGGGACTTATGTTTAAGGAACATCTTCATTTAATGAGAACATAGCATGGATAGCATGCTATGTTCATGATGACAGTGACACAAACACACTGCCAAGGCAAAAGACCTCTGGCTAAAAAAGAAGAATATTGGTGTATATATGCCTGTTTATCATCACCATCAGTGGAAAAATAGGCCGGACAGTTGTTGCTTTTGCTTATTCAAAAAAAAAAAAGAAAAGCTAACTAGCATGTTCACTTCAGCAGTTAGTGCTTACCTACCTATCTGGTATTTTTAAATTAAGTTATTAATTTGAGCAGTATTTTTGGTTGCTGCCACATTATAGGGACTAAAATGAAATTCATGATTTTATTGGGATCATTCTGTCCTTAAGGGTCTAAATCTTTAAAATTGACCTCTGACCCCTCTGAGAGTCTAACTATTCAATCTCCATGAGCACACATATGTTACGTTGTCAGGAAGGGATAGCGGCAGACTTTTGGGGGGATTTGATTTGTTTCACCTTAGAACCTCCCCGTTCACGTGTGATTTACTGCGCCGGTCACTGATGAGATCTGCTGCAGAGGCACATCTGGTTCTAGTAATCGACAACTATTTGACAATTACTTTAAACATCATGATACCTTTAACTCTGAACCGAGTCATATCGGCACACAACCCTGGAAAATCAAGCTGGATCAAACCAAAAGTGTGCAGGTATCAGTCATCAACAGTTCGAAAGTCAAAAAGAATAAGCAGGGCAAAGGTTGGAGTGCAGCAACCCTTCCATAAACCAAAGTACATCCAACTGTAGCCGGGGCGAACAGGTGGAAAACACACCCGCTCTCCGTGATCAAAGTTATCGTTGTAATCTAAGAATAAAGCTATCTATGATGAGAGATACGCATTACATTATTCTACTATCTCACAAAGGTTTCACTCATGAACATCTCGTAAAATAATAATTGATCGACTGACATCCTGAAGCACGAATATCACTGCACTTGTACTTACAACTAGAAATTAGTTACCAGCTGTTGTTCTACCTGATGTGTAATTAGTGCTTTGTGGCGGTGAAGGTGTCTGTTTTAGCACCATTGTTCTCTGCTCTGAAGGAACATTTGCATTGTTTCTCAACATGCTTCTCATTCCTCACCTGCGTGTGGCTTCCTCCCCCCATGTTGAACTCAGGGGTCAAGAAAATCAAAATTCAGACATTTTTAGATGCCATTTTTAACATCAGAGTAAGTTTTATTGAGCTCATGGTATTTAAGTTCTCAACCAACAATTGATTGAAAAAAAAAAAAAAAATCTGAAAAAACATGGTATTTCTAACTTCATTGTTGCTAAATTAAAAGCAGAAAAATACTCAGAAGTGACAGACATGCCACTTTCAACACTTTCATTGCTTGTTGGTCTCTACAGCTGCATTTTCATTACAAATCTGCATAAAACATTAGACGCATTCCTGCTAATGCTAAAAAAAAAAGCAATTTCTTAATTGCAGTGTTTCTGTTAAATAAGAAACACAATTAAATTAACAAGTTTGTTCAGGCAATAAGTCACTGGAAAAAGAAGTTGGCCATCTACTCCCTGCCACTTCCTGTCTTTTTCTTCTTTGTGGTTTCCGTCAGTGGCACCATCTGGTTGTTCATCATGTGACTTGTATGAACGAATCATTGCCTTTGCAGTTTTGCAAAGTAAACCAATTTCAATATGGCCAAAAAAATTAATAAATAAAAAACCCATCCTAACAAGACTTGTTTTTGAAAAATGAGATTTTTCAAAATGCCATGTTTCCATGAAGCTAATTTATTTTTGAAATGTCAAAGTGTGGAATCATATGGTCAATGGAAATGCAGCTTTAACCACCTCCTGGTTAAAGGAGTTCCTCCGTTGCAGGGGTTTTGCATGATGATAACATCATTTGTCTCTTTATTTTTATTTAGTCACTGTGAAAACAGAACATGCGATCTGCCAGAATACAAATAAAGCAAAAACTAACAGGGATTGGACTCAAGCATGTATTCATCTTCAATATCAACACAGAACTGACCCCACAATTTATAGAAACCCTGAAAACCTCTCATCACAAGCATGCAAAACGTAAAACCTAAAGAGGTGTCATTTACTGCAGCTTTTCCATCAAAAAGTAACATTAGCTAGATACGTCTAACATGTTCTGCACGTTTTGCAGAATATGTTATCTAACATGTTATCTGCAGGAAAACCTTATCCCTTATCTAATATAACTACTCTACCTAGTAAAATATTGCCCTGGCTTAAAAAGCGAACCATGCTTTGAAGCAACGTAAATGAACCCTTTAAAACTTCAGAGAAACAACCAGAGAATTATTTTGCTCTTTTTCCAATGTCATGAAGCTCTGTACTTGAGGTAGTGACTTCATCCAATTCAGATTTATTTTAAAGAATAGTTATGTTTATGTCATTGAGTATTTGTATCAGAAGAGTTATTACATTAGTTATTGAGCTGAGTTTGCTTGTACATATCAGTTTTGCTGTGTATTCATCGGATCCTTACCTGAACTCTGCGATCTCCAAAATGCTCCCAACTTTTCCGCATCTGTAATCTGTTCCATGATAGACGGATAGAGGATGAAACGCAAAGCAACTATATATAAAACTATATATTCAATATAAAAGAAGCAAGATTGTTGTGACATATAACCTGTCTACATTCATACATTTATTTAAGTGAATATTTTTCTTACCGATTTGTCTTCAGCATGTGTCTGAAAACTCTGTGATTTTAGAACCAAAGTGTCCTCAGCTTCACTCCTCCAACATCACAACACGACCAGAACACCCATGACTGTGAAGGCACATAATATGGGGGGGCTAAAAAGTAATCATAAGAGGTAAAACAAATTTAGGAAATTTAGTGACAACAGCAAAGCTAGAAAACACAAAGTCTACGAGAGATTTACAAAAAAATAAAAAAATAAATTCCTGTAAATATCAGACGCTCGCATCATTTCAGCCTTCTGTTCACAGTCCGCCTTGTTGGCAAGATCTGAACTGGACATAAAATCAAATTCCTCGAAAGAACAAGTAAACACAGGCTGGAACCAGAGTAGGAAAGCACTTCCTTTAATTTCATCAGCATACACAAAGGCCCATGTGACCCAGTGAAGTCAAATGCAAACAATAATCATATAGTTTGGCCCAGCCTAAAAATAATCAAATAGCCCAACCCTACTAGAGCGACAGGTTATTTGAGGGACAAGCCACTTCAATCCTGCATGCTTCATTCATGCTTTTATCTAGAGTCAACAGCACTCAGCCTGCACAACAGCTACGCAGCAGAACGCGAGCAGCAGAGGCCGTACACTCTGGTAAATGTTTTATCGTGCTTCTGTGCCTCGGGTATCTGAGGAGAGCGGCAAATAGCAAATAGTCTCTGAGCGGGAAGTTCACGCAGCAGTATTTATTTTCTCCAAGCAAAGAGTTTGATTCACACGATCTATTGATATTATTAGCCATGACTGGACTCTATTCCCAGAATTATTCTTCCATTTTTAGGTGGAAAGAACACAAAACGCCACAACAGGACAGAGTCAGAGCAGGGCCTAAAATAAGACGGAAAACAACCGAGTGATGGATTGCACGGAGACAAATAAGAACGATGACTTCCGCGACCATGAGTTTGATTGTTTCCTAGGGAGAAAAAGGTAACAGGAAGCTGGAGGGTGGAGGGGTTACAGAATTTAGCCCTGAAAGGGAATTGTAGAGAATCCATTCACTCATCATGTTCACAAGTTGTTTTACTCTCTGTATTATGCCTTATTATTAGTATTCAGACCCCTTGAACTTTCTGACATTTTGTCATTTTGCGACCACAAAGTGAGCATTTATTTATTTATTTTTTTAATTAGGATGTTTAGCAACAGCTCAACAGGGAAAGAAAATGATATGATAATGACAAATTCTTCTTTCTTTTAAAAATAAAATTTGAAAAGTGTGGTACACATTTGCATATAACCCCCTTTTACTCTGATACTCTTAAATTATATCCACTCCAACCCACTGTCTTTAGGGGACATCAAAATCAGACAAACCAGCTGGAAATTCAATCTGTGTAAATCCAGTTGTTCTGTTTCAGAGATTTGTTAAACGGTAGAGAGCAAAGAGCATCAAGAAGATGAAGGAACACCGCAGACGGATCAGTTGGAAAATCAGAAGAAGCTGAGAGTTGAGTTTGATTATAAAGCAAACATTAACATTGACATTCATTGAAATTGCAATTTTAATGTGCCATCCTTCTGCTGCTCATGTCGCTGCCTATCCCCCGCCTGAGAGAAAAAAAATCTAGACACGCCCCATACACAGGGCAACATATTTTCCTGATAATTCAGCCATTTCCTAATCTCATTTTAAGTACATGTTTACAGTGGTTCACAATGGATTTACATCTGTTTTTCACATGGGGATGCAAAGTGATGCAAAGGCCGATTTCCAAGCTGATGCCTCAACTGGTCTCCATGTCTCCCACGTTCGAGTCTGAATTTCTGTGTGTGGATTTGTGTGTTTTGAGCCTAACAAATGCGTTGCTGCTGCTCCTATCTGTATTTCACTCGTGGGAGTACAGCAAAAAGAGATCACTCTCACTCCATATGTGTGAACTTGTAATGCAGGGCGAGTGCGTGTGCAGCCATGTGAGGGTGCGTGTGTGTGTGTGTGTGTGTGTGTGTGCGTGGAGTTGCTTCTTCATTCGTCACTGGCCCAGGGTGGAGAGGAGACTCCTCGGAGCCCAGAAAGCAGGGGTCAAGTCCGGGCTTACTCAACCCCCGCAGATCCTCCTCTACCTCCCCTCCCCCCAGGCCCCTATCACCATTAGCTTTCAGATGAATGTGTGTGTGAGTATGTGTGTGAGTTTGTGTGTCGGGGTGGGGGGGTGGGAGGTGAGGAGCAGGCATGGAATGAAATGGGTGAAGGGGACAGATGATGAGATATATATGAACTGAAAGAGGGCAGAAAAACCTGGGCTGGTGGAGGATTGAGAAACGAGAGGTTAAAGGATAATTCCTGGTGAAAGGAGCCGACAAATGGAGAAAAGATGTAGAGGCCAATGGAGAATTGGTGAAATGGTCAGAATCAAATGAAGGAAACAACATCAATAATATAATTTAGGATATTCTTATAGGGTTAATACAGCAAATTCAACAAATTAAAGCAATATAATGTCCGCTGTTGTACAGGCTTCTTTTAGATTCGACCAATTTGAATAATGAACATTGTTTGCATTGTTTGATTATGAATGGATGGGAATGTATTTGACTTTGAATCGCTTTGTATGATCAGACTAAATTGACTTTTGTTTCGTAAAGTGCCCTGAGATGACACCTGGTGTAAACTGTTGATAAATACATTGAATTGAATTATGTGGGGGGAAAAATCCTACCATCATAACATTTTTCATATCAATCGAAATCAATATGAATGACGCTAACAGGTCACTATTTTGGTCAATCTTTAGTTTTCCTTTGGAACTATCAAGTAAGATTTAAAGATAACACAAGGTTAACTTTTAAAAGATTTACTTTTAAAAGTTGGACATCTCAGGATTATATGGCTGCTTTGGATAAACAAAATAAGTAGATTTTTTAATTAAAATCTTTAAGGATTACAGAACATTCTCCTTATTTTGTCAAGAGGCATTGAGATACATATTCTCTAAATCTCTCCTTTACTGTAGCTCCTTTTAAATATAACTTTTATTAAGAATGAGTAATAAAAAGAAAGACAGAAAAATGTTTATATCATCAGGGCGAGCTTCAGCAGCTGTCCAACTTTAACTAGCCAAGCTGCCTCAACACGACTGAACAGTTCAGGTCTTTCATGTCAATGTTTTTTTCTTCCTATGGGACTCTCAATGTTTCTCTTTTTCCCACGTCCCGCTTATGTCCTACCAGTCGTATGAAGTATAAACAGGGTAGATCTACAAGAACGTTAGCCATTAGCATGTCTGGTTGCTACTGCACTCTCTTTGTCCAATTTTCACAGTTTTATTCCAGCCATGTGATTGGCCCAAAGCAAAGCAATTCTAACTATTATTGGCTGTTCATCATTGATGTATTGTGTTTTATCAGATTGAGTATCTAGCTTGCAAGATAGCTGGATATTTCATATTACCCAGAAGTAAATACTTAATCAGCAAACCTCAAACTAAATGTTTATATCCAAACTAAATATTTAGTTAGCAAGCTAATTTTTTAGCCTCAAACTAAATTCTGAGTCCACACTCAATCAGCTCAGTCAGTAAGATACCTCCTCGCTTTTTCCTGAAGCTGCAAAAGTTCAAAAGTCATCCTCAAATTTGATTAATTTGTGACTTTCAGACTTTTCAATGCTTAGACTCCCTATTTTGAGTAGTGCTCTTAGATTTGTACATTTATATCTATTCCATGTTTTTACATCTACTTTTTATATAAATGTTTAGATATCATGAAAACAAAAGCAAAGATTAAAACTAATTCCACACTGGATCCTCTGTGGTCTAAAGATCAAACTGTTTCTCAGTTTTGCTGCAGTTTAATTCAGAACTACAGCTTGTTGTGGCCTTCTGTCAGTTTTTCCTGGGTACGTAAAAGATACATGAGCTGGAGAAAAAGTGACGGACAAACAGCTTGCATCTTTCTGTGAGAGAGCATGAGGTGCAGAGTGATGGGTGCCAGGTACGGTCCTCCAGAGCGAACGTTACTGCTGTTCTCAGCGCACCACCTAGGATGTCCAAGTCAGGATGGCGTCGGCAATGAGTAGTGGAGACTCCACATGTGTGTGTGTGTATTTTTAATACACACACACACACACACACCACACACACCCCCACCCCCCACACACACACACACATATTTGTGTGGCAATCTTTGTGGGGACTTTTCATTGACTTCCATTCATTTCTACAGCCTCAACCTTACTCCTATCATAACCCTAACCAAAACTCACTTCACACCATGATCCTCAATCTAACCCCTGACCCAGAATCAGCATTTCCCCTTATGGGGACCAAGCAGTGGATCCCCACAATGTAGTATGTGTTGTGAAAACGGCGTCTGCACAAGGTTTTACAAACACACACGATCACCTCGTGCTTGGCCTGCAGGTCAAAGTCTCACCAGACAGCTTTGAATAACACATGAAAAAGACTACAACTCTTGACTCCAAATATCAATATTTGGAGTCAAATTACACAAAACCTTTCAAAAATCTACTGGGGTACTTGGATAGATTCAAGCCGGTATAGGTCTGTGGGCTTTATAAAACACATTGATTACATTTAATACATTTAATAAAAATGATTCTCAGAAATTGAGAACTCACCCAATTAGTTCTGCCTGTTTTGAGTTAATTTAGGAATTCCCATTTTCAGGGAATTCCTAAATTAGGAATTTGGACCTCAGACACAACTTTACATCTTTGATCCCGAAGCAGAAGTGGGGCCTCCTGACACACAACTCTGTTTTCTGTGATGGAGAAGAAATGCATGGACACATGCTCTGTATTGCAGTCAATAACTCAATGTCTTCCTGTAATGAAGTGGGAGGAGCTCTGCTTGGTTTTCCAGGTGAGGTGCTGGGTATGGCATGGGGTTCCTAGGTTAAAAATTGTGGCGCAAAGATTTGGAGGTTTTTGTAACAGTTTTTGGACCGATTCTCAAAGCAGGAGATACCCAAACAGAAGGACAGAAACATGCAAAAGGTCAATTTTGCATGACTGTGGACCTTCAAGTACAAAATGACTCAAGATCTCAAAAAGAATTTATTTTCATTTTTAGAGCATATTCTCTTCATTCAAGTTGTATGAGGCGACTGATTCCTGGTATATTTTAGGTTTGAGGTGAAAGTTGTGAAAAAGAAACATGACTTTCAATTTAACTTTTTGGAAATGACAACTTAAGCAATTTATGTTTAAACTGTGCAGCGACTACAGAAACTAGGGGATGGTAGCATCATGATGTAGATAGAGATGCTTTTTTTCCCATCCGGGATGAGGAAATGGGACATGCACATATCAATGCATAGCTAGTCTGTTAAAAAGCAAATCTATTGTTCTAAACGTTTCTTCATTCAGAGGGTCTGGACCACTGAGAAACAATTGGTTGTGTTGAAACTTTTAACAATTGGATCAGATTTACCCCCCGATTGCTAATGTTTGGCCGAGGCATAATGTGCCAGCTCACCTGTGAAGGAAGTTGCACTATGAAGGAAGACGATAGCCAGGCTAAAACATGGCAATATTGGCAAAAAAAAAAACCCAAAAAACTGTTAAACTCCAAAATCTTGAATAGCTTTTATGCACTACAGCAACCCCAAAATACTTAGCAGCAACCATTGTAGGTTTAGTGTTAAAAGAAGTCAACACAGAGGAAAAAGGTTCGATGTGTCATCACTAGCAGCAGTTCTGTTCACATTCAGCCAAAACAGTGAGTAACGGTTAGCAGAGGATGTTTTGTAGAAGCATTAACATGCATTTCATGCACTGGATGGCGTTTGTCAGGTATCAGAATGCTAAAGAGCCAGGTATTTAACCCAAGTGAATTTTCTTGGGTCGTCTGAAGCTTTGAAAACACATCGGCGGAGTTAAGCTCTTCTGCAAGTCAGCACCGCAGACAGGAGCAAACTGTTTGATCTTCTGACCAAACTCCAGTTAGTGAAGTCATCCCTTCGGCCACCACCCCTTCTCTTTAAGCGCCGCACTAAAAAACAATCACTGTGGGCCGTCGTAAAGCTCACTCTCATCCTTCTCTATTATCTCTGGCCCAGTTTTGTCTTTGTACCGTTTGCTGTCAGAGCGGCTTTATTTACGCCGCTCCTTAAGGCAGACATCAGTCATTTTATTGGTCTCATTTGATTACTCTGCTTCTCAACCTGCTCATGCATCTTCCTCTTCATTTGTCTCCACTGTACTCTCTGGGATAAACCCCCTTTTTGTCATTCTAATATGATCCCCAGAGTCTGTTTTCTCCATCACTCCAACCTTCATCTGCTCCTCTTTTCCCCACCTTTTGCCTCGATCCGTACATCTGTCTCCCTCGGTCGGGGGGCTGTCCATCTTTGCATTCTGTTTCATCTGTGTCTTCGTGAGCTTGTGAAAAGTGCACTCTGGATAACCCACCGAAACGCCTCCCCTCCGTTTCCTGTGGTGGGATGCACCCTATTTATTTCGTTGATTTTCATTTGCGAAAGAATGCACAGACCAAAGACTGACTGTCTGCAGAGGATTTATCCGAGTCGAGCCGCTGCGTCACTCCGAGAGGGAGTGAAACACACTCCATAAACTCAGAGCCTGGTCAGAGTCATCAAACTTTTTCAGCATGGTTTTGTTTTTTGGGGTTTTTTGGAGGTCTTTTTTTTGTTCAAAATTAAAGAAAGAAATAGAAAAAAGAAAATACATTTAAAATGTTTTACGAAATATTATTTCCAGAGCATCTTCTCATTTACAGGTTTAGTTTGCTTTTTAAGATACTGTTAAGCTGTTAGAACTAATGGTTTTCTAATGGTGTCTCATCGCTCAGTTTGTTGGAAAGTGAAAAAATGCTCACAGTGATGAAAGGTTCACATCGAGATTATCACAAACATCCGTTAAATTTGTTGCTGTTTTCTTGTCTCTCTAACGTCTCTAAAGTTACGCTGGGTGATGCTTCGGGATGTATTACACTGCTGGATCAGCCCATTCACAATGAACACTGCTGTCTGGTATAACTGGAGGCTCTCATGAAAGTACAAATACTTCTTATTATTGTTATCAAGCATCAGGTGCTGCAATGAGTTCCTTCCTAAACACTCACTGGCAGCCCAGTCACTCCCAGCTGCAGTCAGTCCCTGTCCAGACTGTCTGGACAGAAGTTCCAGTGGCTCTTCTGACGTGTAGATTGCTCATATAGTTTGCATCTATCCAATCATTTAATATCTTCTGCTGTCCTCTCTGCAGGTTGTGTGGTGGTGCTCGATGTGTGTTTCTACCTTTTCTTTTCTGCAGGGCTTGACGAGCAAATCCTCATCTATGCCATCTGGGGTTGATGTATGTAGGGGAGCTGGTTTCTCGAGGCAGGGACCATATGGTTGTTGCACCTCAAAGTGGTAACTACTCCAGCTCTCTCTCTTGTCTTTGCCCTCATTGCATCCCGGTTCCTCGGCCATGTCTACATGGACTCCTGGACAGTTCCCTTGTTGAGCTGGTCCTGTTTTTTACAGTCAGTTCGACACTATCTCATTCCCATTTTACAATATTATTTGTTTGTCGTACAGTGTACAGATCACATGGAGTAACATCACCAGTTTTTTTTTCTTTGTGCCACTTTTTGTGTAAGAACTAGCCTGTCTTCTTAGAGTAATGGGGTCCGAAGTCGGTCCTTGAGGGCCGGCATCCTGCATGTTTCAGTTCTCTCCCTGGTGGTAGAAACAACCTCCTCTGCATGTCGATGTTCTTCTTAGGTCTTCTAACGAGCCATCATTTGATCCAGGGAGAGAACTGAAACATGCAGGACGCCGGCCCTCGAGGACCAGCATTCTGCAAAAAAAAAAAAAAAAAAAAAAAAAACAATAAAAAGTCCAAAGTAGAAGCCTCTTAAAGAAAACCTCTCACAGAATAAAGCCTGAATTCAGATTTTCTCTGCTGTGCTTTGGTACCAAGCCCACACATACAATCACAGTGGATAATGATCCACTCAGCGACATGGTAGCTGGGGCCAAGAGTCATAAAACAAACTCAAAGGAACCCATAAATATCATCTCATTTTAAAAGTCATCCTCACCTGTTCTGTCATTTCCTTTTGTCTTTCAGCTAAAAAACTCTTCAGAACCCGAAGAAACGGCGACGCTGAAACAGAGCCACACGCTGCGTCCTCGTGTTTACAAAAATAATCTTATACAGTCTTTAGTGTCCTTTCAGACACCCCCCCCCTCCCTCCCGCCCTCCTCTCAGCCGGCAGAGAAACAAAGACTGATTACTGCATTCTTCTCATACATCAGCTCAGCCTTCAGATAGCTGACTTTACAGCAGCCTGGAGAAATGGCCTGAATGCAAAGACCAAATAAATACTTGCAGCCAGCCCAGCCAGAACAAGAGACAATGAAGCCAACGGTCCAATTACATGAAACTGCGTCTCACAATGATGGCAGTGTGAGACTAGAGCAAGCATAAAGAAACACGGTCCTGGCTATTTATCTTGCTTCTTTAAGCTTTCCTAGAATCACCAACGTCTGCATTCAGCTGAACTTATCTGGAAAAAACTACATAATGAAATTCAACACAGTCTTAAAAAAAAGAGAAAGAAAATGGAAAAAAATGTAAGAGAAGACTAAATTTCCTGTGTCATTGAAATACATTTTCCTTGTTAAAGTTAACTTAGTGAAATATTTGAAAGCTTTCCAAAATGAAATATAAAGCTTATCCATAGATCACATTGCAACCTTGACAGAAATGTGAAGTAAAGCATATCACTACAAAACTGTTGCATGTTGTGGGCTGCACAGTGAAACAGCTTCCCACCAATTTTACAATAAATTACAGCAAAATAGGCAAAGAAGTTGATGAGAGTGAGATCTGACAACAGAACACAGATTAATATCTGGTTATTAATATGAAATCGTGGACACACTGACTTCTGATGTCCCGAATCATATGACGATATATTTTAGTGCTCTAAAATATATTGTGGTCAAGAAAATGTCCTTGAGGAACCTCAAGTGATTTTGTTTGTCAACCAAATAACACAAAGTTATTCCAGTCTCCAAAATAAAGTCTGAACCAGTTTATGCCGGTTCTACTCAATTCATGAATTCAGACGTATTGTCATTGATCATAAAATTGCAAAAATCGGAATTACAAAAACACATTTGCATGATGGTAACATGGCTATTTAGAACAACACACACACACAAAAAAACACGTTCTTTTGTAAATCTTTTTGTGCTGGGATTAGGTGGTTTCAACGGCTTATTGTATGAACAAACTTATCAAAACTTGATTTTAATTGCATTTGTTATTTAATGAAAACAGAGATTTAAAAAAAAAATTTTTTTTTTTTGACAGTCGCGGTATTTTGAAAAATGGAAACAATCGTCAGACGCCGCCTCAAGATTCTCTAATACCAACACAGAAGTTCATGTCCCATCGCAGTGGTAGTCTTGGTGTGTGATGTTGTACATACTATATACTCACACATACGCAGACTTACTTAGAGTGTGAGCATGAATGTGTGCTTGCGCATGCTGAGATTCCTGGTGGCTAGCTCATTGTCCTGGCCCTGTAAGACAAAGGGTTAAGTAAATGTTTGGGGAAGATAAGACCACTCACTCTGACAGGCAGCAGCCCCTGCTACCCAGGGGGATTCAGCCCAAATACATCACACACACACTCACTGTATGCGCTTCCACACAATGACTTTCTATTAAAATCATCTTTCCCTCCTTTCTCATTGAATTTGCGTGTTTTTCTTCAAGCAATGAACCTCTAAAGGTCTGTCAGCTGGTGTTATTCATCAGGTTTGAACATGGTGAAAGTGTTAGCTCGATGGTAAAAACCAGTTCATCTGCATCCTGTCCAACCAACCCACTTTAATTTCTCCTTTCAATGTCCGACTGTGAGGAAAACTGGGAACTCTCTAAGTTCTCATAGAGCCTAGACCCACGGCACAGTCAGAATAAAAGCTGTACAAGAATGCTGTGTCCTGATTATAGGACACAGCTACTGCTTAGTTTCATTATGGATTTTTAAATCAGCAATCATGCATAATGAACATGCATGTAGCATTCTTGGTTAGCAGAGCACTTTTAAGTACATTTCTGGACTTCCTGACAGTAAAGAATTACAGTAGTAAAGCCATGAAGTAATAAAATGTTGACTGTTCACAATATCTGTGAGGAGAAAGACAGAAATCCTTGAACCCCGCTGATCAACCCAACGTTTTGGTTTTATTTCTTGTATGTCCAACTCTTCCAAGAGGTTTCAAAACTTATGAAACTTATGAAAACTTATGAAAGTTGTGATTATTTTTCTGTCGACAAGAAGCTTAAGCGTGATCATAAACTATCCACAGACCTTGATGAACCTCTGGATGCCCTTGCTAAGTGTTTTTGCCAGAGGTTAACCATGCTGCAGGTCTATCCAGTTACCAGCAGGCTTAACAAAAACTGACATTAATCTATGTAAAAACTTAGCAGTGTCCATGTTTGATTAATGTTCCACAAATTGAGCTGAAACTAAAGACGTGTCAGTTCACCACAGTTCCCTCAGTCGACACCCACCAAACCAGATCTGAAAAAGTTGCATCGCAGATCCATTAATCACCAGAATATGAACAGTTTGGTGTTTTGGCACTTTGTCCTAACAACAAAAAGGAGTGCATCAGAAGAAGAAACCATCTCTGTTTTCGGAAACGGTACCACCCACTCTCTGTGGGAGCCCAGCAGACTCAGTCATTAGTGGCCACTGATCGCTGGAGATGGGGAGTTTGCAGGGGTAATAATAACCTGAAAGACCTCCTCCTCCCTCTCCTCCTCTGCTTTTTGCATCACTTGCTCCGTCTCTCCCTCCCTGCTGGGCTTTATCAGCGGTCCTGGTCAGTGTTCTGCTGTCAGATCTCGATGTGATTTATGTCACGGGCTGTGAAGTTGACTTATCTTCCTCCACTCCACTCTGCGTTTCTCTTTCCCTCTCCCTCCCCCGCGCCGCCCCGCCTCCTCTGCAGCTCCACGGAGGCTTGGCTCCCTGCGTCTCAGCCAGCCTGGCTCCTCCAGCTCCTCCGCTAGGAGTGAGGAGGGGAGGTTTGGGTGCGAGGAGGTATGAGGCAGTGAAGGTGTGAAAGAAAGATTTCTTTCTCAGGTCCCACCTGTCCAGTAAATTACGGAGCCCATGCAGTCTGCTGGGTTCACTGACAGATAGTATGGAAACTCAGAGTTTCATCTCACTGGTGTTTTGCTCTAAAAATATTTTTTTTACAGACAGCCATTCCCACAAGTACAATTCATTCCTACCTTTTGTAATTGAGTTTGAAAAATCACAAATGTTAAAATACGCAGAAATGTTTCCGGACTTTTATACGCCAAAACCGTCCTGTGTAAGAGGTAACAGACCATTCCTTTGATTTCTTGTTTGGTGTTTAACCTCTGACCTGCTGTCAAAATCGAATCAAATCAAAATCCCAGATATGCAGACAGAAAATAGGATTTGTTGTACATGATCAGCAGGATGTGCATTTCTCTGATTCTGGATCAGGTCTTTCTGATTGGTTTTCATTATTTTTAAGCGTGTCACTAAACCATACAGTAAATTGTCTTTTCTCCCCACTTAATGTGATGGTTCTTCTTTGGCTGCCACTTTCCATTTTCCCTTTTTTTTTTACAAACCACACACTGCACTAGGAGGAGAGGACTGAACAAGCAGCAAAAGCCACTTTTTTTAAAAAAAAGAAAAACTCTAAACACCGGACTTCTTTAAACCATTTTCTTGCTGTGAAACATGGGATCACCAAGGCCACAAAGAAAAAAAAAGAAGAACTATTTACCATAAAGTGTGTTGTGTTAGTTCTTGCTCAGCATAATACACATCCAAAAAATCTCTTCCTTGAGAGTTTTTCACTTGTTCTTGTGTATAATTTTAAGTCCAAAGAGTTTTTTCCCCCCTGAATCCATGTGCGTCCTCGTTCATCCATCTTCCCGATCCTCATGCCTCACCGTCCGCTGGCCTTTGATGTGCTTTTAAAGTGCTCGCTCTGCTTTCCCTCTCTTCTGACAATTATTTATTAGTTTTGAAATAGTCTTTGAGGACCGTATGTGTCTCTCAGTGGTGTACTTAAGAGGGGACAGCTGGCTTCAAAACAAAGAGAATCTGATGGCAGGAAGAGGCAGGGAGGCAACAAACAAAGAAGGCAGTTTAGGACTTCTATCTCGGCGGCTGCAGTCGGGTTTAGTCTTCTCATCGGAAAGTTCCTCAAAGTATCAGTGAAATATGAACAGCATGAAGACGGGAAGAACTGGGAAGTGAGGGACAGGAAATCAAGTGTGAAAGGAAAAAAGGTGCGATCGGGAAAGAAAAGACACACTTGGAGGTGTGGAGAGAGAGAGAGAAAGAGACAGACATGCCTGCAGACCACCCAGGTGTGCCGCTGCAGCCTCATGAATGATTGCTTGCTTTATAGCCACCTGTAGGGTTGATCTAAAACCTTTCAGTCACGACAGCATCAATCTGCTTCATTCACAGAAACAATGTCTTCTCTATCATTTAGGGTGAAGGAACAACCAGAAAAACTGTTTTTCTACCGTCATCAGTGGCCACACTAACTAGCATCTGCCGTGGGGAGGGACCTGTAGCATGTAGCAGGGTGTGAGCAGCACGTACATGAGGTGATAGACAACGCTGAGACATTCCTCCTGGCTCTGATTGGTTTGTTCTGATCAGTGTATTCCTGCAGGGAGGAAACAGATTATCTGTCTCATAATCTACTTTCAGAAAACAGTGATAGTTACAACGTGTGTATAGAAAAAAAGATTTCTTTAAAGTCACAAACCACAGCTTTAGCCTGTTGTAGAAAGCTAATTTCTCCAGTCATGCTTGATATTTTAAAACATTTTTTGAATGATTCCCTGAAGGTAGTCCAACTAACCTCATGAAGCTCTGGAAGTCAGTTCACTGTCCCTTATTTTCCCCAGCCTTGTAATATTTTCTCTGCCTCAGAAACATTTCATTCACTTTCCCGACTTTGGTCATTTCTGTTCTTCTCTTTCACCTTTCCCCGTTTCTTCTGCAGCCTTTCCCCACTCGTCTTCCCTTCCCATTCTTCTTTCCTGCCATCCTCACTTCCCTGGCAGCAGTTATTTCTTATCAGTCTGCAAAGAGGCTAAGAAAACAGTACAATGTGAGACC